CTTCCCCATTTAATGGATTTTGGGCCTTTGTCAAAGATCAGCTGACTATAGGTCGATGGATCTATATCTGGGTTCTCAATTCTATTCCATTGTGACCTGTGTTCTTCTTGTGATTTTCAATCTGAATGAGTAACTGGACTCATTGGCTGGTGTAGAGTCCCAAATAGCTCTCTACTAGTCCCAGCACCATACCTTGTTGAGGAGGTTGGTGGTAAAAGCAGGACTGTGGTCACTGGTCCTGATAGGCAGAACCTCATGGGACTACTCTCTTCTTTGTGGAAACCACAGAGGCCAGAAGCTGATTTTCCTACACAGAGGAGTGTACACCTTCTATCAGGATATAGCCTCAGGCTCTGGAATGAATATCCAGGCCCACCACCTTCTCCAGCCCTGCCTGCCAGCTCCTACAGGCTGTGGTGGCAGGCAGAGCCATCTCTGAGGACAAAAATGCTTTCTGTAACAAATTGTTGTCCAGTCACAGGGCCCAGAGGCCCTCTGAGAACCTGCTAGAGTGAAAATTAATTCTGTTTGACTTAGGGAAAACCAGACTTGAAATTTTCTCTATTTCATTTTCAGAAAAACAAAAATTAAAAAATACAATCTTTAAATGTAATATATAATTAGTGAAACATTTGATATGGTTCATACATTTAAAATTACATTTTAAAACTACAATGTTTAAGATACGGATTATGTACTGATTCATGTTGATTTCTGTGGTTTGGCATTCACTCACTCTACAGTCATTCACAGCTGCCCACTGGATGCCACTGGGGACAATGTGGCTGTTTTCCACCCTTCCCCATCCATCCTCCACTCGCCCTGCCCTGCTCTGCACACTGGGCTCTGAGACTTCTGGCCTCTAGGTGGGTTTGGCTGATAGATACCAGCCCCCATCCCACAGCTTTAACCCTTGCTGGGTCCAATAACTCCACTCCCTCCTCAGGCCTCTTCAAGGGGTGGTTATAAGAGCTCACACCATTCCCAGGGCCTGGGGAAGCACTACCCTAGTAGTTCTAACAAACCTGCTCACACCTCTGCGAACAATGCCTTCCTTACACTCTCTTCAGTCAGCTCTGGTACCAGACTGTCCATGTTCTGCTGCAAACCTGACTGAGACACTGCTCCTGGCTTAGGGCAATGGAGGGGAAGTGGAAAGTTGACAACACAGTAGTTATAAAAAGTATGCAGAAGCACAAGGTACCAGGGAGCACCTAGGACAGATGGGTGCATTGTTCTTGAGGGCATCAAGAAAGACTTCTCTAAGGAGATGTCACTTGAGCTGAACTATGACTTGGAGTTCACCAGGTAGAGAAACTGAGGAAGGGTTTGCTAAGCAAAGGAACAGTAAACATTCAGAGAGCATAGAAACATGATAAGTACTCAAAGACTTGAATACAGTTGGAGTATGGGTCAAGAGAAAGCAAGTTAGAACAAGATCATAGAGGACCTGGGATATGATGCTGAGGAGTTTGAACTTGAGGCAGTAGGAGGATGAGTAACTATAGTAGTGTTTTAACAATGGTAGAGATGAAAGTTACCTCAGCAGCTCCATAAACAGAGGATTAGCAGCAGGTTTCTGTTTTTTGTTCCCTGCCCCGCCCCCGTGTTTCTTTTTTTAATTGTGATTTGGGTGAAAGTTTACAGAGCAAATTGGTTTTAATGTTAACAATTTGTGACATTGATTCCAGCCCCCATAATGTAACAGCAGTCTTCCCACTTCCTCCCTGTGTTTACCATTTCCAAAATTAGTACTTTTTTCCTATCCCTTTCCGTCTTCTGAGCTTTATCTCTGACCAATCACTGAGCTTTATCTCTGACCAATCACTGCTCTTTTGAACACATATTGTTGATAGTTCTAACTAGTTCATACCTCCCTGATGCTATCGTGGGAGCTCTGGTGGCGTAGTGCCTAAGGCATCAGACTGCTTACCAGAAGGCTGGCAGTTCATACCCACCAGCCAGTCATCGGAAGGAAGGTTGGGCAATCTACTTCCTTAGTGGTACTGCCTCGGAAACCCAAGGAGGAGTTGCTATGAGTTGGATCCAACTCGACAGCAGTGAGTTTGGTTGGTTGGATGTTATTGTTCATCTTATTAGCCTGTCAATTGTTTGGTTGAAAATGGAGACACAGAGGTAAGTTCTGTTCCAGGCTTAAAGGCTAAGAGCTCTAGTTTCAGGAGTTCCAGCGGTCTCTATCCAACCAGTAAACCTGCTCTTTTTTTTTTTTTTTTAATGATTTTGAGTTTTTGTCCCCATATTTCCCCACTCTATCTAGGACCTCCTATTGTGATCCCTTCTGAGTGATCAACAGTGGAAGCTGGGTATCATCTAGTTCTTGTGGTCTGAGGGTCATGGAGGTTGGGGTTCACATGGTCCTTTAGTCCTCTGGACTATTTCTTTCCTTGCATGTTTGATTTTCTTCACTCTTCTTTGCTCTGGATAGTGATAGACCAAGAGCTGCACCTTAGATGC